GGTTAGGCTACAACAGAGGATGAAGACCTGAGATCAGGGGAGTGACCGAGAAGATGAAATGAAGGGGCCGCGGGAAAGAACAGGCATGAGGGATTAAGAGGGGACTGGGCAGAGGTTTCTCAGCTATCTGGCTTGGGTTACTGGGTAGATGCCTTTACTCTTACTGAAGACATGGAAGGCAGGAAGAACAATGGAGACGTAGGCTGGTTAACTCTGATCAATTGTTTGATGATTTCAATATACATGTATTATAATAATGACACATTAAATTACTTAAGATTTGGGTTCATGACCCTTCCATGTCAAAATACATCCTTGAGTCAAAAAACATAGCCTTGAATCAAAAGAAATTGATTTTCTTTCTGTTAAAAGACAGAAAAGTCTTTCTCTGAGAAGTGGTATTGCCTTATATTTGAAATAACCTTGTACAATTTATACCAATCTTGAATATTATTAAAAAATGGAGGTACGAAAGGATGTTAAATATCTTCTTGCTATTGGTTGAGCGTGGTGGCTCATGCCTGTAATCCCAGCTCTTTGGGAGGTTAAGGCAGGTGGATCACCTGAGGTCAGAAGTTCAAGACAAGCCTGGACAACATGGTGAAACCCCATCTCTACTAAAAATACAAAAATTAGCTGGACATGATGGTGGGTGCCTGTAATCCCACCTACTCAGGAGGCTGAGGTGGTAGAACTGCTTGAACCCAGAGGGCGGAGGTTGCAGGAGCCAAGATCACACCATTGCACTCCAGCCTGGGTGACAGAGCGAGGCTCTGTCTCACCCCCCCTGCCCCCAAGAAAAAATCTTCTTTTCAACTATAACTTAAGGAATGAAGTCATCTTAGCCCAGCAGGAGTATGAACTTTCTCCGGGGTTACGAAACTGACTGCTGGCAAAGTAAAATCGAGAACCCAGGGCTCCTGACCTCAGCCTGGAGTTCTTAGTAGATCCAGCTTGAGTCAGAAGGAAGAAGGGGCTGGTGATCTGAAAGAGGCTAAATCCCTCCCACAGTTGTACTGCTTCAAATAAACCTTATTGTTCCCATCAGAAAGAAAGCAGCAGATCTTCCTGGGCTTTTAAGAAGTTTTTCAAATTCTAGGAATTGGTTTCACATTTGTAGTTTACAGAGCCACATTAATAGTTGCCGTTTGCTGACTGCTGACAACACCCTAAGTGAAGTTAAAAACACTAAGTAGCATTTCCTCATCATCTGACCTTTCCAACATTTTTATTTTGTTCTGGGCCAAGGTAGCCAAAGGCTTCAGGAATAATCGACAGACAATATTGAAACAATTTTAATTCTACCCTAAATTGAGGTAAACATCAGAAAATAATTATTCTGCATACAAATCTTAGGCACTGTGTTAAGATGATCTCTACAGTAACTCTTCTTGTTTCCACTGTAAACAATGGGAAGTGGAAGAATTATTTTTAGTTTGTTATTCATGGGCTGAAGTTTGAGTTCAGGTTGTGGTAATACAATTAAATAATTCATTTTAATCAAGTATGCAGGATGCTGATAAAATAACTTTAATGAAGAATGTTGAAAACATCTAAGAAATGTAACTAAATATATAATGGAGAATTATAATATGCAAAAATGTAAGTTAAGGCTTAATAATTCATATTGGAAAGGTGCCCTGGCTAGGAAAGGACATTCAGGGAAAGGGAGAGCCGTGATGGATCTCAGCATCCTCCACCCCAGAGCATCCCTGTAAACATGCATTCATTCATGTGATGCTAACAGAACACCCAGGGAAACATCAGCAATATCACCAGCTGGCACAATGGCAAATCAAGCAACGATTCTTGAAACCAGTCTGCTTGAATTCTTCCTATAGGATCTAAAGTCCACTGAGAATACTGTAGAAGCCATTCTGTGTCAGAAATTTTACATTATTTTAATGAAATGTAAAGGATAGAAATGTAAGAATGCTTTCTCTTTTTTTTGTTGTTGTTGATATTAAGTCTCACTCTGTAGCCCAGGCTGGAGTGCAGTGGTGCGATCTCAGCTCACTGCAACCTCTACCTCCCAGGTTCAAGTGATTGTCTTGCCTCAGCCCTCCTGAGTAGCTAGGATTACAAATGCACGCCACCATGCTCAGCTAAGTAGAGACAAGGTTCACCATGTTGGCCAGGTTGGTCTTGAACTCCTAGCCTCAAGTAATCCACCCACCTCAGTTTCCTAATGTGCTGGGATTACAGGCGTGAGCCACTGTGCCCGACCTCAGAAGGTTTTCTAACATTAAAATAGAATCCCGGTACTTACTTCAAAAGGCTGTTAGGAGCACTTTCATGAAACACAGCAATATGGTATAAGTTCCGTTTTTTGAGGTCAGAGACTGACTAAAACCCTCTGGATATTACTAGGAAGAATCTAGCATTTCCCTCTCTCCTTATTCAGTTGGTGAGAGTGTTCACAGTGCTTGTATCATAATTGCCTAATTGGGAAGGGTCTCTCGCAAAGCTCACCCCAAATACTACTGCATACAGAATAGGGGATCTAGGACTGGGTCCCCTCTAGCTCTTTGAAAAGTCTTTACCCCTTTCCTCCTTTACATTATAGGAACTTGGGGCTTAGAAACATCAGCTAGCTAAATTTTACGGCAATTAAAGCTGTATTAAGCTATGCATATGTTTTTTAGGGTAGTTCTCATAGTAGAGTACGTGAACTGTTGATTCAATCGGTTATAAAGAGCAACCTTTTCCAATACGGTTACCACAGCCTGGCTGGCTATGCGTATGTTTGGTTAGATGCATTTAGTTCCTGAAAGGAGGATATAAAACAAAGGCTAGCTATCTCTGTTTTTTTTTTTAAAAAAGGCCATAAATTTGTAACATTGCAGCAGACTTTATGAAGTCATCTTCACAATTCTATATTATTGACAGAATTGTTTCATTGTCAACTTCTTTAAGTTTTACCTTGGCAAATTGCTGCTTATCAAGTGACGCAAAATTTAACATAAAAAGAGAGATAAGGTATAATCGAAAGAGCACTGAAACAGGAATCAAGAAAGCTAATTCCTAACAATTGCTTGAATAAGAAAATAAAAAATTGTAACACATAAAACATACATAAATAATAAGTATTATCTATTACATCTATAGACAGCAAGCTAACGCATAGGAAATTTTCTTTTTTCCAAGTTAGGTCTGTCATCTTTTCACAACTTCAATGAAACAGTCTTAGGCTTAACTACAAACATCAAAGCTATACAATTGCAAGATAATCATAGAACTTGACTACAGAAAGAGTTAACAACTAGTTATTATAGGTTAGGTGTGTGCTCATCCCTATAATCTCAGCACTTTGGGAGGCTGAGGCGGGAAGATCGCTTGAGCCCAGAAGTTCAAGAACAACCAGAACAACAAAGTGAGACCCTGTCTCCACCAAAAAAAAAAAAAAAAAAAAAAGTTAGCTGGGTGTGTGATGGCATGTTTTGGCTGAAGTGGGAGGATCACTTGACCCCAGGAATCAAGAGGCTACAATGAGCAATGATTGTGCCACTGCACTCCAGCCCAGGTAACACAGCAAGAGTCCGTCTCAAAAAACAAACGATTATATTAAAATTTTTTCTCAACTGTTACCTTACCGATTCAGTGTTTTTATAAAAATTTAAGTTTATGAGATGACATTATCAAAGTGATCTAATAAATAAGTGTGCCAATTAGACTGGTGAGCTATAGTTTCTTTAATTTCACTTTAACTTTAAAAATATAATAACATTAAAAATATAGCACCATGGCTTGGTGCTATGAGCTGAATATTTGTGTCTTCCCCAAATTCCTATGTTGAAATCATAAGCCCAAGGGGATGGTTATTAGGAGGTGAGGACTTTGGGAAGCAATTAGGTCATGAAGGCAGAGCAGAGTAACACTAGTGGTCTTGTAAGAGAGACCACAGAGAGCTAGCCAGCTTCTTCTACCATGTAAGGACACAGCCAGAGGGCACCTTCTACGAGAAACAAGCCCTCACCAGACACGGAATCTACCAGCACCTTGATCTTGGACTTCCCAGCCTCCAGAACTATAAGAAAATAAATGTCTGCTGCTTATAAGTCATATTGTTTACAGTATTTTGTTATAGCATCCCAATGGACTAAGATACTTGGATTCAGAGTTCCCTCCCAAGTAAAACACTGGGAAGGGCTTGGAGAAAATGGTGGCCATGTGTCAAGCCTGAAGAAGTATCATCCTTCAGACACTGAAGATGCTGGAGTCAGCATTCTTGGCACACTCCAGCATCGGTCCTTGCAGTGGGGGAAGGCTCTTCTTCACACAGCAGACATGGCAGACAAAATGGACACAAATTAAAAGTAGGTACCCAACAGTCAGGTGCAGTGGCTCATGCCTATAATTTCAGTGCTTTGGGAGGCTGAGGTGGGAGAATTGCTTGAGCCCAGAAATTCAAGAGCAGTCTGGGCAACATAACTAGACCAAGTCTCTACCAAAATAAAAATAAAAACCATATGAAAGTAGGTATTCATAGTGCTCTGTGTCCATTAGACATTAGTAAAAGGATTCCAGTTGAGAAGAACAAGATTTGAAGTCATCATTATTCCCTCCTCTTTAAATCCATTAATCTTCCATGTTTCAGGTTCTCTATGCAGCATATTAATGCCTGCCACAAAGGTGCTGTCAACCAGAATCTTCACTGAATCTTCTTGGTCTGAATTGCACATATCTCAGAAGAGAGTAGAAAATGCGTAAGGGCACCGTGGCCCAGGCATTGACACTGTCACAGACATAGCATAATTACTCGCTATCAGATAAGTAAAATGCTGCTAACGCTCAGTGCTGCGGAATAAGAATTTTCCATGTTTACTTTTTAGCCCTTTTTTACCAAAGAAATTCCAGAAGGTGCTTTTAACACTAAAGGAAAGCTTAAAGACCTACCCCTCACACACCCATCAACCCACCCTGCCTCCTGCCTCAGAAAGACTTTAAACAGTTTGTTTTAAAATGAACCCGTAAAAGTAAATGGACACCTAAGTCATTACCTCCAAGGAGTCACTTTCACAGTCTCCTTCCTCTGTGCTTCTCCCCTTCTCTTCGGTAATGGTGTTCACCATCTCAAAAAACCTACAATACGAGTTAGCACATGAGCTTCATAACACATACAATCGTAAACACAAGCAAATACATCCCAAAGTGGCTTCAGAACCAAAACTGAGAGCTAAGAGAGTCTCTAGAACCAGGCAATAAACACTCTCACGATCACGTGAAAAATATAATTTTTCAAAAAGAAAATACAGGTTCGTAGGATTTTCTAGAAATTTCTAACCTAATGCCTCACTTCAAATACATTTTTCTTCAGGAAATCTTCCTGTAAAGTATTTTTTCTGGAGACCATTTCAGAGACAAGCAAAGTCATGACAATGAGAAACAGATTGGCAGCCTGACTAGCTATGGCTAGTCCATTCAGAGACGAGGCTGTTGGTTCACAGACAAAGCCAGGAAGGCCTGTGAACAAAGGCTGATGATCCCACAGGCAGGTCATGCTATGCGATGCCAGCCCAAAGGAAGAGGAGGTTATGGCTTGATAAGAAAAGTCTGCCTAACACATCTCAGAACCTTTCTTACCCATTCATCTGTCTGTTCATTCAACAAATGCTCATTGAGTGTCTACTAGGATAAAAAACTGTTCTGGCCATTGAGAACATGATGATGAACAAAGTCTACCTTGGAATTTGGACCCTATTTATGGAGTTCCTATACGGTGCCAACTTTTTCACTCTTCCTATCTCTATACACATTTCTTGGAGGTCCATGTCAAGAAAAAAAACTCCCCAAGCCTGAATGAAATAATAGCATGCACTCATGATGATTAAACAGCACAATGAGTGAGAGAGAAAAGCTAGTTCAACCAACAGGAAGAATAAAGTGAAAGATCTAAAAAAAAAATCTGGCCTTACAGACACGATTTATGATCTAGGGTAAAGACTTGCATCAGCCACTCATGCAAAAATTTTCAATATGAACATCTCGAGGCAGAATCTAACACTCAACAGTGGGATGGTAGCACAGTGTAATTTTCAGGAGCTAGCATTCTGAAGTCTCCCGTGCCATGTTCAAATCCCAGATTATTATGCTTACTAACTACACGATTTTAGGCTATACTCTCTAAGACTACTTTTTTTTTTTTTCTTTTTTTTTTTTTGAGATGGAGTTTCGCTCTCGTTACCCAGGCTGGAGTGCAATGGCACGATCTCAGCTCACCGCAACCTCCGCCTCCTGGGTTCAGGCAATTCTCCTGCCTCAGCCTCCTGAGTAGCTGGGATTACAGGCACGTGCCACCATGCCCAGCTGATTTTTTGCATTTTTTTTTTAGTAGAGACGGGGTTTCACCATGTTGACCAGGATGGTCTCGATCTCTTGACCATGTGATCCACCCGCCTCGGCCTCCCAAAGTGCTGGGATTACAGGCGTGAGCCACCGCGCCCGGCAAGACTACTTTTTTTTATTCTTTTCAACGAAGATATTAATACTACCCATCTAATAGGGTTTCTTTGAAGAGTAAAGCAAGTATTAGTTCTGGGGCACACACTTCATAAATCTTAGCTGCAACTATCATAGAAACAAGTCAACGCCCTTGAGAATTTAAGTGTAAGTAGAAAATTAGTCCATAAAAGAGCTAGGAATTTTCTTATTTCCAAGTGTTTTCTTTTTCCCTTACCACATGTTTTATGATAATAAAGATGAAGCTCGAGCCAAGAATTGTGGATTCAACAAACACTTTTCTCTTTCACATCAAGATAAAAATGAATGAGTGTATATTGTAGCTAGCATATCGGTCAGTTATAATGAAGTCAAATAGTAATTATTTAAATAAGACCAATCCGCAGCAAAATTCTGAGTCCAAACTAACTTTCATTTACCCTTTGGCTTCTAAATTATCACTGACTTCACTAGTTTCCCACAGTCAATCACAGTGTTCTAAAGAAGTAAGAAGAATTTAATTATTAGCCCAAGAGACACATACAATGGAGAAAAACATAAACATACAATGCAGTCCATGGATTTTTGCATGATCTCTTTTAGTGCTATAGATCAGATCACTGGCTCTTAATTCAGGCTTCATCCCCACCAGAACATCCATTGTAATTAGTCTGGGGGGGGGGCATTATTTTTTTTTAAAGCTCACCAGGTGAATCTAACTAATATAAGCCAAGGTAAAGAGCTAATATTGTGGATAATAATGAGATGATTTAAAATAATTTGAGGATGAAAATTCTGGTAATCATATACAGTAGGTGAACACTTGAAATATGAGTTATAATATTTAACAATTAACCAGTAAGTGTTGGTTAATGTTTTATCTATGGGGAAATAAGTTATGACTAAGATAAAGTCTGACTTATTAAAGAGAACTCCCCGAAAATCTATTAAATTCATGACATAATTATAAAATATTAGCCCAAATAAAATATTTATATAACCCCATAGCCATGAATTCTTCACAGGAGGTCCATGTTCACCCATTAGTTGAAAATAATGATCAGGTAAGAAGAATCTTTTTCACACACAATGACTAATACATACTTTTTACAATGAAGTTCTGTACAGAAATAGATTTGGAAATCATCAGAATTGTGGAGCACATACAGAAAACAGCATCTTTCTTCAAACTTAGAAATACTGAAACAAACAAGCAAAGAAGGATTATTCAGAAAACTATCAATTCTATGGTCCTATGATGAAAAAGAAATATGTTTTAAATTCAATCCCATTGATATCAATGTTGTTTATAACAAGAAGTTAGAAATAGCACTTTAAAAAGTGGTATTTCCCATACCGCACTACTAAAAATTATTTACTCTTCTGAGAAGTATCCTCCTTCTCATGTGTGCAGAGGAGGTTGCTCTAGGGAGTTGTAAGCACACATAAACCGCACATCCTTTCAACAGAGCAGGGAAAGGTGTCCTGCCTGCTACACTATTCTGTGTGCTGGGAGGAAAAGCATAAATACCAATTGGCTGGCTGACTTCAGTGATTCTGGCCCTATGCAATCTGTGGAACAACGAAATGTTTCCAAAGCTGGGCAGGCAATTTGTGGAGGCAGTAAAAGCACCTCATTCGTTATAGGGATTTTAGAGGAGTAAAGCCATGTGCAAGCGCACTTGGTTAGGACTCAGCGGGTGGCTGACTTTACGGCAATATAAAACAATTTTGAGTCGACCCTCGAGACCATGCTGTTTTATGCCAGGTGTTGGCAACCATTTTCTGTAACAGATCAGATAGTAAAACATTTTAGGCTTTTCAGGCCAAACTACGTAATTCTTCCACTGAAGCACGAAAGCAGCCTGAGATGATGCATAAATGAATGAACATGGCTGTGTTTCAATAAAACTTTATTTACAAAACAGGTAGGGGACCAGATGTAGTCCATAGGCCACAGTTTGTCGACCCTTATTTTATGCCTTTGTGCCTGCTGTTCCTTCAATTTGGACCGCATGCCGTTTTTTACTTTTAAAAGAAACTCTATTCACGATTTAAGGCCCAGGTTAGACCTTACCTTCTCTCCCTGCCCTACTTCTGCCCTAAACAGAAAGACTTCCTCTTGCACCTGTGTCCTCTGAGTGTACTTCTTTCATTGCTCTTCTCAGACGGTATTGTCATGAGTTGTTAATGTCTGTTCCTCTCCCTTGCTGGGCTGTGAGCTCTTTAAGAGAGGAGTTGATGTCTTGTTATTTTTGTACCTTCGGCAGAACGGGGCTCAACATTCGACACACAGCTCGTGCTCAGTTAATGCCCACTAACTCGAGCTGTGCATTTTCCGAGGAGATGCAAGGCAAGCTGCTGACCTAGCTGGATTTTCTTCCATAGTTTGTCATCTCTTCTTTATGGAGGAGGAGGCCAGGAAAAATGAGCTCTCTTTGAAGTCACAGGCTACAACTCAAATTTCTCAGTACATAAGCCAGCAATTGCCAGATTGCTATGTATAGGTCATAAATCACAACAACTGTTATGTAGGGCTACCACACTTAATTAAAGAAAATTAATTCATTGGAAAACAGATATGATAAAGTAAAATTTACATTTACCATACTTTCTTAAATGGATTGCTTAAAAATGCAGCAATAAATAATGAGTGCCTTGCTAATGACTGGCTTTAAAAATTAAATATTGAGAGTACAGCTTTATTTGAGAAAAGTATCGACTGAAAGATGCATAATGAGTCAGTCCATCGTCTTGTTTATTTCTGTTCAAATCGTTCATGAGGTAACAGGTAGCCTTACCAGGAGAACTCCAATTATTAGTGACTCAGACTGCTCTACCAATTTATGCTCTAATAAAACCAATTACTATTATCATTCCAAAAGCAACAGGATATTGCATAACCAGCCTGCAAAAATCTGTTGTCTCTCATTGCTATGATGTGGGGATAAACAGTAGTAAGCACATCTAATTTGGTTTGAAACTTGCAAGAGTTGATTTAGAGTGAGCTTCAACAGAACAATTATTTGAAGACTTCACCACTCACTCTTGAGGCTTTAAAAAAATTCTTATTTCTAAATCCTAAGAAATGGCATTTTCTGAGCTACTGGCATTGTGACAGTAGTCAGAACTGCAGCTCACCACTGTAATCTCAAGATCAATGCAGGAAAGTGACCTTAGGAAATTTTTTTTTTTTTAATGGACTCCCTATCATCTGAAGTCATTCATATTAGTGGGAGGGGTCAGGCAGGGTGGCTCACACCTGTAATCTCAGCACTTTGGGAGGCCGAGGCGGGCAGATCATGAGGTCAGGAGTTTGAGACCAGCCTGGCCATAGTGGTGAAACCCTGTCTCTTCTAAAATACAAAAATTAGCTGGGCATTGTGGTATGCATCCATAATCACAGCTACTTGGGATGCTGAGGCAGGTGAATTGTTTTGGACCCATGAGGTGATGGCTGCAGTGAACCAAGATCAGGCCACCGCACTCCAGCCTGGGCAACAAGAGCAAAACTCTGTCTCACAAAATAAAATAAAATAAGATAAAATTAGTGGCAGGACACAAGCTAGTAGATGGCATGTGTGCTTTGGATCCATGCAAGGGGAGACGAGTTCCTGGTAAACCGAAAGGAGAGAAAATCATCTTATTAAACAAACCAACAGCTCAGCTAACGAGGACCTCCACCTGACTCAGTTTTATCTACATTTTGATTCTGGTCCACAGTTTGCATTTCCCCCCACAGTTGCCATATTTTAAGTAGGTCACAAGCACAGTCAGTTCAACCAGCAGTGAACATTTTGTTGCAAATCTTTTCCTAATGGAGATAGTGACACAGAGGAAGCTTGGGCATTTCCAGAACGATTCTTAACATTCTTTGTATTTTAAAATCAAGATTAAAAGTTCTAACCAGCCCATGAATGGTGCAGAAAAATGTCTTATAAGTAAACAAAATGTACCAAGGAAACTTACCTCACTCCCCTGACCGAAGAGGCACTGAAATTCCACTCATGTATACCTTTCTAGAACAACAAAATAGGGGTCATCCAGATGGAAAATAACGTAACAACAATAATTTTGTTTAACAGCCATTTTTCCTGGCACACTATTTTTCATGGAAGAATTATCCGGATGGAAAGCACAATTCATTCTCAAGTTATAAGGGCAATGTTTACTTAATTCCTGTACTTCAATAAAACAGCTTCCAAAAGAAACTAAAAGAATTCATCTCATTAAATTCTAAAATTTGATATTTAGTAACTGTTGTGTGTTAATTTTTAGGTAAAAAAAAACTCAGTGATCAAGGTAATGAGATTATTACAGTTGAGAAATATTTCTTTTCTGAGAAAGATAAGCATTAATTTGAATAACAGCAAGGTTTTAAAGATAATTATTTCTGCATTATCTTTAGTTAAGATTTCCAACCAAATAGGCGGTTCTATTTCTTCAGAAAGTTGTACAGCAAGAATATATGTGAACACTCATATATGCAGTGCACATCATAACTACAAGGTATTGCTACCTAATTTACGCAAAATTCAATATGCTAAAGTTTGAACATAAAAAATTTGATTGTCATACTATAAACATAGGTGATTTGCAGACCCAAGGTGAAGAAAAATGTGATAATTTATTTCTTGAGTTTATTCATTAAAGCTAAGTTAAAATTATCAAATTCATATGTTCCTAAATTAATTACAAAATGGATCAAAAATTCCTTTTAAACTGCATGACAATATAAAATTAATAGCCTAAATGTTTGTACAGAAATAAAGTAGTTGATCCATGTGTCTAAGCTGAGCAAGTATAGTACAGCAATAAACTGACACTGAAATTCAATTCTGTAAATTTCAAACAACCAGGAAAAGGAGTTCTTATCCACCCACTGCCAGGAAGCTGAGGTCTTGCCTGGGCAAATGAGATGGGAGAGACAGCCTTCTGGCTCTGAGGTGGCTTAGAACCCTCATTTTGGCTAAAGCAACTCAAAAGCCATAATTTATATCTATAGCCCATAATTCTTTGCTAGGGCCATGCAAGTTAAAATAAAAATAGATCCTCTCAAGTCAGATGTGAATTACTAAAAAGCTAGTTTCACTGCATATCAGTCAGGTCATGAGGATGTGACCTGAATGAACACAGAGCAAATTTTGTTGCATGAAGTCCAGGAGGGAAGATACCATAAAAAGGTACTCATGGCACGTGGTAGCTCTCTGAACCAGAGTACAGAGGGTGTGAAATTAAAATAGCAGCCTGGAGCCTCAGCTGGTAATTTGGAAAGTTGCTTCTAAATCCTGTTGGCCTCAGGTGAACTTCTAAATATATATATGACCCCGAAGCTGCAGCTGTTACCTGTACACCACTTTCGTACAATGCAGCCTTATCCTCAGAGCCTGCAGCTGAGCTGCTTTCCAAGATCATGTCCAGGAGCAGAAGTGGGAGGTGAGTGCAGAGCTGAGCCAGTGTGCAAACCCGCCCCTGAACACAGCAACTGGCAAATACTAACAAGAGTGCACTGGTAAAACCCATCTTCTAACAATCCTTTTCTGGGAACAGCCAAGTAGAGATTTTCCAGATTGACTGGACTGGTTTTGTAGGAAAGGAGTGGAGCATTTCCAGAATGCTTGGTTCCTGAACGGTTGCCAGTGCTGCCAGGAAACGTTCCATTTCAGTGATGTAAAGCCCAAGCCCTGGGATGGAAGGTGAAGGAGGCCTCTCTCCCCACCTACCCGTAGGACCCACCACAAGGAGGCGCTGATGAGCTACAAAGCCAACAGGTAGTTTAAAGGCTCTTGGGACCTGTCTGGGAATCAGGGAAAAGGGCGGGGCCAAAGGCAGCCCTGCAGTGATAATTAGCCCCAGCAGTCCTCAAACCAACACTTAACCTAAGTTAATCAGCACGAGCACCATTTTCTAGGAACTGGTTAGCCTCAGATCCCAGGCCCCAGTTAGGGTCAGAATAGGAGCTGGAAGTTAATACTGTAATGACTGAAGGAGGCACTGGCAGGTCCCTAGGCAACTGTCATTCCCTGCAACTCCGCTGCTAACAAAAAATACATTTGGCCCAGGTTCAGGTGGCAATGTTTATGGATGGTGAAACTGATTAGTCTAAACTGGCCATGGGAAGTCCATTTGCCTTGCTGGGGATGGGTTTAGGCATAGAATGAAGGAGAGAGCTTGGTTCTCCTCCCCCGGATGCTGTCTGTGTGAGATGATGCTTGGAATAGCTAGCTACTTAAGAACATGAGGGGAAAACCAAGAGTATGCAGAGAAGCCAGAATTCAAAATTCTGATACTGAATTCACCCTCAGAATCACCCCACCTCAAAATTATGTTTTCATCCAGGCTGGAGAGTTGTGGTATAATCATAGCTCACTGCAGCCTGGATCTCCTAGGCTCAAGTGATCCTCCGGCCTCAGACTCCCAAGTAGCTGGGACTACAGGCACATATTACCAAACCTGGTTAATTTCTAAAAAATTTTTTGTAGAGATGGGGGTCTTGTTACATTGCTCAGGCTGGTCTTGAACTCCTGGCCTCAAGCAATCCTCCTGCTCTGGCCTCCCAAAGTGCTGGGATTACAGGTGTGAGTCACCATGCTTGGCCTGTAATTTCTTGTAATATGAAATACCATTTCTTTATTATTTAGGCTGTTTTTAGCTGGGAGTTTGTAGCAGAAAGCATCCTTGGTGGATGAGAGCATCAAATCATCTTAATCTAGAATCTTCCCTCATAGGTTTCCCGGGCCTTCTGTGAGTGGCCATTGGCTGGAGCTGGAGTGAGGGAGGAGAGTCAGTACTGAGTCCTCCACTAGACCCCTGCTTTTGTTTGAAAACTCAAGAGATAGGCTGAGGGTGCCCAAGCTTTAACCCCAAAAAGGGGGAAAAAATCTAAATAAGCATTTAAAACGTTTTGCAAATAACTTCTCTCTTCCTCAGTCTAAGGTTTTCTTTCGTTGTACACATGCAGACTTTCTTCAAGGACTAACTTACTTTAAGCAGCAACCATTCATTCAACAAAGAGAACTGTTAAAAGATTGGGATTTCAATTAATGTTACCCCTAAATGTACAATGGCTAAGAGTCCCTGGGAATTGGGAATTGGTATATAAAATGCTTAAAGTTTTGAAACTATGAAGTATATACTAGCTCACAGAGTTATTCATTCCACATTTTAGAATAAAAATAGTGAGAGGAGTGACTAAAGAAATAAACATGAGAAATGAAAAGCGACATTCTCTATTCTAATTTTAGGAAAAAATTTGTAAACATTCTATAGTTAAAAACAACCCGTTTCTAGTTTAACATAAGATCTAAACTGGTTGCTTCTCTGTTAGTTATCGTTGTTTTAAAGTAACATGGTAATAATAAAGTTTTTTTGTTTTTATTGCTTGCCCTCCTTCCAGTTTTACAACTTTTATTATAAAAAATAGAGGAAATGGTAGTGATAATGAATACACTATGGATAGAATGAGGGTTTGCAAATAAATTGGCATAAATTCAAAATGGAAACTGATATAAGAAAGGTTCAACTTTTGAATAAGGAGAATTTGTAGCACTAAAAGTTACAGGAAATGAGGACAACGTAAATATTATTCTTCCTGATCAAAAGATGATGAAAATGGAAAATGAACAGTTCACAACTTAAATCTGTAATCCTATTTAATGCACTTGTTTATATCCTAATATATATCCTAATATTTCTTAGCATAATACAAAAACGGTCTCAATAATTGCCACAAAACATAGGAGAATTAATACAAGGCTGACTTTACCGAGCAAAGAACCTCCAGGAAGGAGAAAACAATATCAAATAGCTGGAAATAGTACTCATTTTCCAAAAATCTCTGGCTTACTTTCTGTTCTTTTTCTGTCTTCCAAATTCTTCTGGCTCTCCACTCATTCTCTAGGCCTCGCTAGTCACTAATGCCTTTAGCCCCACTCTGTTTCCAAGTGTCCTTGGACAACCTTACTCTTTCCAATCAAGCCTTTGAAAATCTCCTCTCCCAGTCCTGTTCTCTTCTCCACAATGTTCATGTCTCCTAACTTCTCTGTTTCTGTACTTTCCACCAGATGATTACTACATCTTAGCTTGTGAGAACATGTATGCATATACCCGCATACATGCAAAACAATGTAACTACTGCACTGCACTTTAAAGCTGTATCACTAACACGTATGTAGATAGTTATATTGATTATTCCCAGTTTTGGCACTGGATGATTCCACCTGGAGTCTTGCCATCAGTTTCCACGAAACACATCAAAAATGAAATTCCTCATAATTCCTCTACAACTCAGGTTTTCCTTCTAACGATCCTACCACCTTTATTGATGCAATCAAAACACCTACTCCCCCTTTTTAGTCCTTCTTCCTAATTTGTGATTAAGTCATACACTTTTCAAATCATCTGTCCCTTTGCAGTCGCAACCATATTATTCCACTGTAGGATCTCTACCCGCCTTGCATCTAGCTAGTTCCTCTAATAGTCTTTTCTGTGACCCTCCAGAGCCTAAGACTTCAGAAATCGAATGTCAAGATCAGATCAATCTTATAGCTACACTAGCAACCATTACGGAGCGCTTGCTCCAAGCCTTTTAGCACTGTGCTAAATGATTTCCATTTATCCTCTCTTAATCTTCACAACAATTCTATGAAATACTGTTATTCTCATCTTACATATATGGCAACTAAAGCCTGAAGAGTTGAAGTGGATGCCTAGGCCACAAAGCGGGCAAGAGCTAATGTCAACCTTCGTACCTATGCACTTTGATGCTGACCCTGGGTTCATAACTCACATTCTGTTCTGCCTTCATGCCGGCTCTCAGATTTTCAGAAACTGCAGCGATGTCCTGTTTCCTATCAAGACATGTTTAAAATTCTCCTTCCTAGCTTACATAGCACTCCGGAGTTTTATGTCATCCTGTCCACCCAACTGTACCTCCCCCCTCCCTCAATGCATTTCCCCTTGTGGAATAAGTCAGGCTCTCCAGCCCCTGAATGTCCCACGCTTGCTTTCACTTTGGTGCCTTGGTTGGAATTTTGCCTTCTTCTAATCTAGTTTGTCTTCCCGTGTTCCTTCATCTCTTCTAGTTCTACCCACAGCCGAAGTCCAGGTTCCACTTCCTTTAGGAAGCCTTCTTAAAGGACTCCATGTCTCCCTGGTCTTCCTCCTCACTGAACGCCACAGACCAAGAACCCGTAGCGTCCTCTATAGGAATCAGCACAGGCCCAAAGTCCACAGAACTCAGAAAAATGCTGGTAGATCCCTCTGCCCTACTATCATCTCCACAGTGCTTTCCTCGGGTGTAACACGATGCATTTTAACATGATAGAAATGCTGCTGATGGGTTGCCGGGGCAATGACTTCTTTCAAAGTCTTTCCTCTACCACTTTGCTCGTGGAAGTTGGTCTCATGGGAAGCTATGTCTTAGCAGAAAGCCTGTCTTCAAAGTCCTTTATCAAGGAAGTTTTCTGCTATGAATAAATGAATATCACAAGTAACTTTTTCAAGTGTTTCTCCATACAATTGGCACTCCTAATAATGAAAGAGAATCAAGCTTCTGACTCTGCACATAGTGGCAAATGCTGGCATGTGCAATTTGGGGCTTGTTGGCTGAAGATCCTTAAGTCAACTCAGCCTATGAGTAGAGGGTCTCTAAAATTCAGGTGCAGCCAGTCCCAAACCGTCTTGTAAAAGTGTTAGCTAGGACAGTGTTTCACAAACTGAGATTGGAGAAGGACCACTGTTCTGAAAGATCCTACTGGTATTCCTCAGTGCTACTAGATGGACTTGGTGTTGAGAATGCTGGAGAGTTTTCTCCATGCTTATTATGTAATTTTATGTTGCCAACATTTAGTGTGCCTGCTAAAATACTAAGTTACAAGACTTAACATGACCAACTTTATCTAAACATGCAACAAATTAAAACATAAATAGCATGCATTCTGGGTGCTGCTTGTATCTATTCATTTTAAACACAAGACACTGCCCTTCCAAGAAACTATAGCACTGGGACCAGCGATTTCTTGCCACTCTGACAGAGGTCACAGGGCCTGCCCATGATTGACATCCAGGAAGGATCTCTCCCAGCTGACTTGGACACATCATAGCATGGGACATTCTTCTTGCTAGATCATGGATTTGCTGTGTTGTTTTCCTGTCGAACTTCCTCAGATGGTGGTTCACATGTGTGAGGTCTGAGAGTCTACCCCATAGAATTGTCCTCAGTAGGTCTGACATGCAGATTAGGAATCTGCAATTTATTTTATTTTATTTTTATTTAATTTTTGAGACAGAGTCTTGGTCTGTCGCCCAGACTGGAGTGCAGTGGCACAATCTAGGCTCACTGCATCATCTGTCTCCCAGGTTCCAGTAATTCTCCTGCTTCGGCCTCCCAAGTAGCTGAGATTACAGGCACGCACCACCACGCACGGCTAATTTTTGTTTTTAGTAGAGACGGGGTTTCACCATGTTGGTCAGGCTGGTCTCGTACTCCTGACCTCAAGTGATCTGCCCGCCACAGCCTCCCAAGGTGCTGGCATTACAGGCATGAGCCACTGTGCCCAGCTGGAATATGGAATTTAATTAAACTAGCTCCCTGGGTGACTCTAGTGCTGGTGTTCCAGGGAACCACATCTTGAAAAGCACCGTCCCCAGGAACCAGCTTAGCTATAAAGCCAAGTATGTAATAATTCTTGAGCTACTACAACTGAGTAACTTAGTATGTTTATATCCCTATTAAAGTTGTTGCCAACCATGGCTGTACATCAGAATCATCAATAAATCTTCATAAAAATGCATGTGTCCAAGCTTTGCTCTAAGTATAAAGGATTCCAACTCAGCTGGTCTCCTGGGATCCAGGGTATTGCAGATAATTCTGATGCAGAGTCAGGTTTGTGTGCCCCAATTCAACACCAACAACCTCCCAAATGATTACTCACATGCCATTTAAAGAGCAAAGCAGGGTTAAACTCTGGGGTTTCAAAGTTAGGATTTAGTCCACATAATATGTACACTGCAGTGATTTATAATTTTTTGTTGTTAATGTAGTTAAGATATATTGAACATTTATTACATACCAGGCTCTGTGAAATGCACTCTACTAAATTATTTCATTTAACCTTCACAACAACCTTTGAGTGGACATTATTATCTCATTCTACATATGAGGACACAATACCTTGGAGAAGCCAAGTTGCCCAAGGGCAGTGGTGGGATTTGAATCCAGGTCTATTGACTCAAGTCTACATGTGAAAAAAAACTGTGGCCAGGTGTGGTGGCTCACGCCTATAATACCAGCACTTTGGGAGGCCAAGGCGGGCAGATCACGAGGTCAGGAGTTCTGAGAACAGCCTGATCGACATGGTGAAACTCCGTCTCTAATAAAAATACAAAAATTAGCCAAGTGTGGTGGCATGCACCTATAATCCCAGCTACTCAGGAGACAGAAGCAGGAGAATCTCTTGAACCCAGGAGGTGGAGGTTGCAGTGAGCCAAGATTGCACCATTGCACTCCAGCCTGGGCGACAGAGCAAGACTCCATCACAAAAAACAAAAAACAAACCAAAAAAACCCTGCAAGCCCATCCCAATATTTACTTCCTGATTCCATATCCTGCTTTATTTTTCCCTTCTCATCATTGAATATACCTATTTTTTTAAATTGATTTATTGCCCTCTCTGAGTAGGAAGCAAGCACCATGAAGGCAGGAATTTCACTCATTTTGGACACAGCTGTTTCCTGCGGGTCTAACATCATGCCTGGTAGTTCCTGGACCAGAGTAAGTGCTCAATAAACATTTATTAAATGAGTAAGTCAATGAATGACGGTTAAATAAAATAAAATTATAAGGACATTTTGGAAAACAATTACAAGAAAGAAAATAAATGAACTATTTTTCCACAAGACTTCTCTTGTTTCTGTTGGTTTATCCTGTGAACTGAAGTCAGATCCTGAAAATGTCTGTTTTTAAAAAATAGGATGATTTGTACATGCATTAAAACGGATGAATAAAGAAGTGGAAAGGCTTATCCACATGACTCTTAGGAGCGGAAGTGAGACTGTTTTAAGATCCTTCTCAAAATAAGTGGTCGCACAGCCCACCTCACTTTGTGCACAGCACACTGAGTCAGTGGCTAATCCGAGATTTAGCAACTACTTAGATAACCAAACAGCTAGACGTGACGATAGCTATAACAGCACCAGTGTAAGATTAAAAGTGGCATTCTGACAGGCTTCCTAAAATTAACATATGCCTCTTTTATGTCATGTATTTTAAGTATTAGTTCTTTGATGCATAACTTCCAGCATGAATTTACAAAACAGAATGCCATCTATAATAAAAATCCAAATAGTTCAATGATATTTTATTAATATTGATGAAAATTCATAATTCAAATGTAACAAGTTTTATAATACAGAATGCATTTATGCCAAGACAGACACGCAGCTGAGCTATTTCTTCTTAACTCACACAGACGTTTGCTGGAATGTGTAAATGGTAGAAGGTAAAGTCCTTTGTTAGTAATGCTCTTGTGTTAATAATTGCACAATTTACCTTGTCATCAGGAAGCACATGCCAAATAGATATTGTTTTTTCCTCAGCTTCATTGTTGATAGACAAATAAGAAGGTTGATAGATTTTGGTTGGTTCTAATATTAATACCTTGAAAAGATAAGGCAAAGAAACTAGTGTCAGTGACTTCAGATTGAAACCACTTAGAACTGCTGTAACCCCCAGCCCCAACGTAGAGGATTATAGGATGAGTCTCTGACTCTGTTGCTGGAGTAAACCATTTCAGTTTGTCTGATTGCTGTTTTTCCTATAAATCCCTCAAGCATTTTACAGTATTTATCAATGATCATAAGGTTCAATAATGCATTACCTTGTATTGCTAATAAACTTAGAAATACATTTTTGAAGCCCATATATTGGTTGAGCTATCCTGAGGGAATCTACTAGTGATTAACTTTTAAAAAATCTTCTATTTTATCATGTACTACATAAGCTATTTCTATAAATATAAATGTGTCAAAGAAAGACAAAAAAGGTCCATACATAGGATGTCACATACTTATTTTAGTTTTTCTGCTATCACACTTTATCATACAGATGCAGTAGTATGGTTTTCATACCCATGTAAATAAATTTAGAAATGGTTTTGGTTATTCCTGAAAGAGTTTTATATATAAATCAAAGAAACAAACTTAGCTATATGAAATAATAAACACGTTTTTTGCACTGCCTTTTGGATGAAACTGGCATCTTCAATAATGATATATTTAGCCTTGTAAGAGAAAAAGAGAAATCAAATTTGCTCCTATTTTAAAGTTCTATGAGGGGTATGTGATAAATGAGTTGAGAATCTCCATCAAAGGACTGCATGAAGTAGTCTATTATTACTAATATCTCACCATTGAAGTGAATAATACTAAAATGATACATATGGCCTGATTTCAAAGGCGCTACGATTCATTATCTACTTGTAGAGATGCTTAAAGACATCTTCCTGGCCCAAATGTCCTAGGCAAACTTCACTAGGAATGTTTAAGAAAAGAAAAGTCAATACTTAACTAGTAGAGAAACTGGAATAGTCTTTCTACTCTACTGGTTTAACATTCAAGAAGATTACCCTTAGAACTAATCTTGAATCAAGCGAGTTTTCCAAATAAAAGTGGAGGAAAACCCCTTCAGACAGTTCCATTAATAAGGAATTACAGATTCATTATACAGTAAAACATGAAATGGACCCTCAGAAAGAAGGTACAAGAATCTGGGCATATTTGTTTTACTCTAAACTTACCCTAACAGTGCATTTACTTAAGGTACAGGTAACTCGGGAAAGGGAGCTAGAAAAACCAATTTTTCTTTATTCTGGGTATTAAAACTGTTAAGGGCTCAAAGAATTCTCAGTCAGGCTTTAGCTGTGAAAATAAGATACCACAAATACACACACAGTGAGAGTCCAGAAGGGAACAGATTCTGACTCAGGAAGAAACTCACCCAGTGAATCAAAATCTTAATTCTAATCAATAGAGAGACAAGCGGTAATGATGAATAATGAATAATGAAAATCAACTTTCCAACTAAACTTTGCAGAAATGGTGCTCTCATTTCTGAGTACTGTAGTGTATATGAAATCAAAACAATGGAGAATAAAAGGTGGGTTTCCCAAAACATCATCCAACTCTCTTCATTGACAAGTCAGAATATACCCTGTGCCCAAATTATGTGGGCATACTATTATATTCAACAGCAGAAAAGAACAGCACCAGCTCCTCTCTTGTAAAATTATGTCTTTGTTGTCACCTCAATATTTCTAATGGATAAAATCTGAACTATGTGTCCCTCACTTGAGATAGGAAATAAAAACAAGGTTGTAGCTAGCACTGTCTAATTAATTTGTTGAGCCCTTTGCTTTACCCTTGAAATGACAAAATGTGAGAAATTTGTAGCACACATTACGGAGGTCACAGAAAGGCTGGAAAAAAGACCAGGAAATGGAGGCACTTTGACAAGGCCTTCACGCTAGATATAACTCACTTATGAGTTTATATATTCTTACTTTTAGTTTCTTGTTTTTAGGTTAACATTATAATTAACTGCTAATTTCATGTATCTGAATAAAAAAGGAAGACTGCAAGGCCTATAAAGAATAGATATTAACCAGATGTTTAGGTTTCTACAGTCTTTTAAGTACAATATTTCTCTTCTGCCTCTCTCCTGACATTAGATAATGAGTTCATGGTCTCTAGATTTTTCAATGCAAGGAGGAAAGAAAATATACCAAGACGAGAGGTAAGAAAAAAAGAATAAATCAAAATGATAAATGATGGTACTATTCAAATCATTTCCCAAATAAACTTTCAACTTTCTTTTACCCAGAGCCACAGTTATTTCTTGGAGAAATTAGAAAGAATATAGTATTGAGATAAATAAAAACAATCAAATAATATTTTCTAAAATAGGCCATCCTGGATTTTATTTAGATGTATGTCAAAAGAAGGAAGTAAAATGTTATCCTAATCAACACCTACTGCAACCTTTGTAGTGTGAGCCATGGAAGTTGTGATGCTAAGGACATGACAAGTTGCAGTGACCAAGAGAGCCCCACAGGTACTAAAAGGCTGCCTTTCTCTATGAGGGAGAGCATGGGTGGCAAATTCCAGAAGCGGACACAACTTATTACCCAAATATTGGTCCTGTTTTTCTGCTATGCTATCATCTACATTGAGATTTAAAAATGATCCATATGGCTTCCATTACCTTTTAAAACAATATTTTTGCAGTTTCTGTAGTGCTTCATCACACACTTAAATACAGGAAAACATCTGGCTGGGCACGGTGGTTCACGCCTGTAATCCGAGCACTATGGGAGGCCAAGTTGGGTGGATCACGAGGTCAAGAGATTGAGACCATCCTGGCCAACATGGTGAAACCCCGTGTCTACTAAATATACAAAACTTAGCTGGGCATAGTGGTGCATGCCTATAGTCCCAGCTACTCAGGAGGCTGAAGCAGGAGAATCACTTGGACCCAGGAGGCAGAGGTTGCAGTGAGCCGAGATCATGCCACTGCACTCTAGCCTGGCAACAGGGCAAGACTCCATCTCGGAAAAAATAAAAAAGAAAACATTCAAGTGGTTAATCCTAAAGCAATTTCCATTAAATGTGGAGCTTCTTGGTAGACTGGCATTTTCTGTAACTCACACAGGTGAAGTCGCTGTAAGAACATTCAAGAAGAACTACAACTATGGAAAAGAAATTTTGAGCACCTGAGTTATGAATTCTGATATAGGAATAGTATTTAGAGCTGAGTGGGAAAACACTGCATTTTAGAGTCCTGTCACAAAAAGACCCCAAACAAGCCACGAAGTTTCAAGAAGGAAATGGATTGCTGAGAAAAATCAAATATGCCACAAATACGTTGGCACGATAATAACAAACACCTATGTGCCTACCACTCGCAGATAACTAAATGTTAACATACTTTCATATTTGCTTCAAAATGTTTTCTAAAGAAAGATGTTGTAAATAAAGTTGAGGTCCTCAGGATCCCTTACACAATCCTATCATCCCCTTCCCAGATAATTTACCAGAATCCCAGAATATTCAGCAATTCCTATGCCCACCAGCAGGCTCTAAAAATGCTCTTGTCTCCATACCAGTTACAACTGCTGTAAAATGTTTTAATTCTTTGAGTCCAATGGGAAAAAAAAATAGTGTCTCACTTAATCTGCTTTTTCTTGACTAACCAGAAGTTAATGATCTCTTCGCATTATTTTTTTCTTTTTCTTTTTTTTTTTATTTTATTGTATTTTTTTTTTTTTTTTTTAAATTAAACAAAAATATCAATTTTTTAGTGACTTTTAAGTTCCTTTCTTGCTTAAGGATGCCTTTCTCAATTGGTGTTTATACCTATATTCTCCTAACTTCTCACTTAATATTTTCTGATTTATTTTTTATATTCACTTATTTGTATTTATGTTATGACAAATTCTGTCAAATATATTTTATATTAACATATTTATATTATGAAAGACAAATTCATATTAAACTAATTTAAATGAGCTGAAAGTGACTAATTTGAATGGCTTCCTTTCATAGCCAGTTTTCTAGTCCATCAAGTTAACAGTCAATTAAACACCAGAATTCTATGTTCTCTTCTTTCACTACATTTACTGCTACTCAGAGCACCAGCTAAAGGCAAGTTGCCAGCTCATTCGAAGATAAGTATTTTCCTAGGCTACACATTATCCAGGCTAGAAAATAAAGTGAAGTGTTTCAGTTAAAAGGCTTTCAATTAAAGACCCTGCTGAGCTCAAGGCTTCATCTGGAAGCAAGAGTAAAGCATGCTCATGTCAGCAATAGATTTAATTAAGTGAAGTAGGTGATCCTATCAACAAGAACAGCAAAACAAGATTTCACAAAAAGAATTGAGAACTGTCACCACCTCTGAGTATGGAAGATAGAGATTACAAAGCTCAAACAGAGACTTACGGCATCACTTTGATGTGAAAAGAAATTTGTACACACAGTGAATTGCCAGTAATTCTTTTTTTTTTTGGGACAGAGTCTCACCCTGTCACCCAGGCTGGCATACAATGGTGCAATCTCGGCTCACTGCAACCTCTGCCTCCTGGGTTTCAAGCAATTCTCCTGCCTCAGCCTCCTGAGTAGCTAATTTTTTGTATCTTTAGTAGAGATGGGGTTTCACCATGTTGGCCAGGCTGGTCTCAAACTCCTGACCTCGTGATCCACCTGCCTCAGCCTCCCAAAGTGCTGGGATTACAGGCGTGAGGCACTGTGCTCAACCGTTGCCAGTAATTCTTGAATTGGATGCTGGACAGTATTAAGAACTATCAGGAGGGGGATGGCACCATCTGAGAAGAGCAATAGACTTTTTTAAGTGTGTGCATGTGTGTGTGTGTGTGTGTGTGTGTGTATGTTACACATTTAAATCTATATAGCTGAAGTCCACTAGAGAACAGCCCAAATGAGTTGCAGACCAAAAACTGCAAGTCATTATTTCCCATGGTCTAAAGTGTTATAAATAGGGATTGGAGATATTACATCTAACTCTGACCCAGCTGGGTAATGGATGGTGGGGATGGAATAACAATGCAGGTGAGCCTGATACTTTCTACTCCAATACGGGAGATAATACTGAAGACCATGCCAATACGACTGCAGGATTAGGAAAAGCATCCATCAGTCTGGCTGGAGCTAAACCAAGAGATAATCTTTGCATTGTTTAGGAAGTACACTTTACCCCTTATCAAAAGGAACCAGCCAAATTCCATGGCAAAAACATAAAAATATTTCTCTGATTCTGAGAAATTATTTTTTAAAGTAAGCTAAAGCAAACCAATATGCAGGAAATAAAGACATTAACCAGGTGACTGCAGTCTTAGGGCACAAAAATCAGCATCCAAGCACTGTTACAATCACAGTACAAGATGTTCTTTAAATAAAAAAATGTAATTAGATTTAAAGGAGGAGTACTCACTGGAAACCTAACCACAGTAACATCTGTCTTCGTGGCCTCCACCAGGAAATCCATCCAAAAGTCCACAAGCTCTTGCTTGGCCACAGGCTGTTCAGTAGTCAGTTTCACAAAATGCTTATATATCAAAATTGTCTCTACAATAGACTTGAGGTACCTGAGAAGTAAAAGACATAAAACATGTAACACACAAATTTAGAACCACTTGTTCCCATGTATCCCAATCTAATTCTATAATGTAATTTATATATGACATTAACAGTTACACATTCATTACATTATTCCTTATTTGTTACATATCATGTACTTTCACACTTTCTTTTTTTTTTTTTTTTGAGATGGAGTCTCACTCTGTCACCCAGGCAGGAGTGCAGTGGCTGCACTGACACAATCTCAGCTCACTGCAACCTCCCTGTCCCTGGTTCAAGCTATTCTCCTGCCTCAGCCTCCTGAGGAGCTGGGATCACAGGTGTGCACCACTATACCCGGCTAAGTTTTGTATTTTCAGTAGAGATAGAGTTTCACCCTGTTGGCCAGGCTGGTCTTGAGCTCCTGACCTCAAGTGATCCACCTGCCTTTACCTCCCAAATGCTGGGATTACAGGCATGAGTCATTGTGCCTGGCCACACATTTTTTTTTTTTTTTTTGAGATGGAGTCTCACTCTGTCACCCAAACTGGGAAGCAGTGGTGCCATCTTGGCTCCCTGCAACCTCTGTCTCCTGGGTTCAAGCGATTCTCCTGCCTCAGCCTCCCGAGTAGCTGGACTATAGGTGTGTACGACCATGCCTAGGTATTTTTTGAATTTTTACTAGAGACAGAGTTTCACCATGTTGGCCAGGCTGGTTTCAAATTCCTGACCTCAAGTGATCCATCTGCTTTGGCCTCCCAAAGTGCTAGAATTACAGGTGTGAGCCACCGTGCCCGGCCATGCTTTCACACATTATCTCATTTCTATCTCATAAAAATTCAATAACATAGGTTATTTTATCCCTATTTTAGAGATGAGGAAACAGGCTTAGAGGGCTTGGCAACTTGGACTAGGGCCATAGATCTGATTAAAACGTGAATTAAATCTGATTAAAATGCCTATATT